TGGGGAGCCCAGAACTGGACACAGGACTCCCAAGTGAGGCCTCAGCAGGGCTGAGGAGAGGGGCAGGATCACCTCCCTCCACCTGCTGGCAACACTCTGCCTAATGCAACCCCAGGATACCATCGGCCTTCTTGGCCACAAGGGCACACTGCTGGCTCGTGCTTAACTTGTTGTCCACCAGCACTCCCAGGTCCTTCTCGGCAGAGCTGCTTTCCAGCAGGTCAGCCCCCAGCCTGAACTTGTGCAGGGGGGTTCTTCCTGCCTAGGTGCAGGACTCTGCCCTTGCCTTTGTTCAACTTCAGGAGGGTCCTCTCTGCCCAGCTCTCCAGCCTGGCCAGGTCCCTCTGAATGGCAGCACAGCTCTCTGGTGTATTAGCCCCTCCTCCCAGTTTTGTATCATCGGCAAATTTGCTGAGGAGGCACTCTGTCCCTTCCTCCAGGTCACTGATAAATAAGTTGAACAATATTGGAGCCAGTATTGACCTCTAGGGGACACTGCTAGCTACAGGCCTCCAACTAGACTCTGCACCACTGATCCCAACCGTCTGAGCTCTGCCATTCAGCCAGGTCTCCATCCACCTCAACGTCCGCTCATCTAGCCCACATTTCCTGAGCTTGCCTATGAAGACGTTTTGGAAGACAGTGTCAAAAGCCTTCCTGAAGTCAAGGTAGACAACATCCACTGCTCTCCCCTCATCTACCCAGCCAGTCATTCCATCATAGGAGGCTATGAGAGACCAGAACAGAGACACCTAAACACAGACCATACAACATGTATTCTCTAACGTGGGAGAGTCTAAAACATTCGTGGTACTGATACACAGAAATATCAAAATACGAGTACACATACTATGACTAAGTGAATTTGACAAAATCTGCAATTAGTAACTGCAACCCTCCAAACAAGGATGTAAACAATCAGTAACCAGTCTGCTCCATAAAAGTTACTTCTAGATTTGAGATGATATGAGTACCACATTCTTTAAAACCGTAGCATCACTATGGTATCCAGTATATTAAATTGCTTTTTATTAGAACCTGTTAACATTCAGACACTTAGATTCATCATTCCAAATTTGTTCCTGAATCTTTTCTGTCTGTTGCTTTCCATTTGTCTCTCCTGCCCTCCTCTGCGCTCATTCGGTCCTTGGTAAATCAAAAGGCATGACTCCTCCTTACCTGTAAGTTCTGACAAACATCTTAACTGAAACAGCCCTGACCAAATTTCCTCTACAAAAGAGCCTGAATGTGTAGAAAGCTGGGTTAACATTTGGCCTTCCAATACACGCATTTATAGTGGAAACGATAAAAACAAATCACAACAACCACCTTTCCACTGTACCTCAATCCTTGGTGGTTCCTGTACTGTAGCAGTTTCATTTTGAGGTTTCTCTACTCCAACAGATGATTTAGGTTTCTTTTTCTTTTTCTTCTTTTTTTTCTTCTTTTCTGACCCTTCTTCAGGCTCAGTTTCACTAGCATCATGTCTTGTTTCTGACTGTTGACAAAAATCATGAGGCGTGACTATTATACATTGATTTATTTCAGTACGAAAATAAAAGCAAAACCAAATTCACAATTTGACCGAACTTCTACAACTAAGGCATATCTTAATTAACCTATGCTAGGATATTAAGTGCACATGGTGAATTCAAGACCTATCATAAATTCACAGAGGTAATATGTAAGAACTCTTCACTTGAAGAGCACTGCACAGTTATCAGAATGTACCTGCACTACTGAGATTTCAGTAGGAAATATCCACCCATAAGAAGACTAGATTTCCATGTTTCAGGTCTGATTCTGAAGCCAGAAATTTGAAAAAATTCTGGCTTAAAAGTAATGTATTCAAATCAGCTATTTTGGAAGTTAGTGTTGCTGGAGTTGCACTGTCTCGTATTCTTTTTAACTACATGAAGAAAAAAGTTATAACATATACAACGTAATTTTAATTACGTTAAAAGCTATATTACGTATTTAAAAGCTATATTAGAAGTGGACACTGCGCATGGAGTCTAGAAAAAAAAGGCAATGCATCATGTCAAGAGACACCATTACACAGTAACAGAAATGAGTTTAGAGTAGACAGTTCTCAAGTACCTTTGCCTGACTGTCCTGCTTCCCTTTGCTTCTGGAAAGACCTTCAGATGCTGGCAATGACACAGTTTTCTTTGGCGGCTGTGAAAGAACCATGGCCCAAGACACATGCGGCTGAGCAGAACCATCGGCAGATTTTTGAGGAAGTGCTGTTGCATAAAAAGTGATATCCAAAGATGTCACAAAAATATTTCTCAGGGATCCAGAAGCAAAGGATCAGTAATGAATGAATTAAGTACTATCAAGTATAGTAGAGAGCCATGTTCTTTCCTCAGGAGGAGTGAAATAAGATGCTCACTTGCATGTCTCATTTCTCCAGAGGGCTTTCGAGAATACACAAGCTGAAAGGTCTTCTTATGTGCTTTAGTGTGCAAGACTTTCATCTACAGTACCATTCAGACATATCAGTATTTTGAAAGAATTCGTACTTAATTCATCTTGTAAATACTGTTAATACACAGCAAATACTGAGCAAAATCTAAATTCTTCTTTAAGAATGAGAAAAACTTCACTGAGCAAATACTGCAGCTATTTTATTCTGGGGGATAAGTACTGAGGAGAATAGCATTTGGGGAAAAAATGTTATTAGATTACTTCAAAATTTCCAGAAAAACTTTATCTTTGGTAGACCTTTCAAGGCACTTAAGCAGATCAGACTGTCATTTCTGAATCGTTATTGCAGTCAGGGAAAGATAAACGCTGAACTGTCCAGACTGGTGCAGTTCTGTGCACGCACAGAAGTACAGTGACAGGTGTGCAGACAACTCCAGCGCATAACATATTTGATGGCTCCAGGACGGACTCTTGCTGACATTTCACACAATTCTGGACTTAGGTCAACTCAATTACGTTTACTTACCTGAAGCTAGCCACTTGATATTTTTGTGGCTACAGAAAAAAAAAAAAAAAATCTGCATTTTCACAGGCACAAACCAGGTAAGCAGAAACAACAAACTGAACATTTCAGCACTAAAGCAGAATACCACAGTATTCCACTGCAATCTTCCTTTTTAACAGCCTTGACAGAAATAACAAATGCCACAGAATAAAAACACCTATCTACTAGACCATCAGCTATTGAAAGCTCTATCTGCTTACCAAGACTGATCAAATATTTATCTCTTATTTATTCCTGAAAAAAATTTGAAAATGACTCAATAGACTTCCAATAAATCAATAGGCATTACTCTCTCTCCTCATAATCAATATGGGAGGCAACTGCCACAACATTAGCCCTTGAGCATCAATGAGACCACAGAGAAACATAGGACAATCACAGTTTTGATCTGCTAATGAAATCGATAAGTAAGAGTGAGCCATAAGTGACTTATCTCATTTCAAAGAAACTGATACAGCTTTGCCAATTTTTTGGCGTTGCTCAAGAAGATTAACTTTAAATGATTTCTCACTCGGATTCCTTTCACAATTGTCTGTTTGTATTCCAAGAAGTGTTAAATTAAAAACTTCAAAAAATGTTACAAATCACAAAACCCATCGAGATCACTCTGGTACTGCAAAGAAAAAGATACACCCAGTCTGCTTTACTAAAAGGTCCCTAGAGTAGGGTTGGGGCTGTGTTATTTCTTTTGCTTGTTTTGTAATTTTGCTGTTTAATTCCTTGTTTACATTATTGTTTAACAGCTCCTGCAAATACTTTATCTTGCCAAATTAATGAGATGCAAACAGTTCAAATACAGGTAAATAATTTATGTCTATAGTACTTACCTCTACCATCAAATGAAGAAGGAATTAAGCTGACTACTGTTTCTTCTAAAGTTTTTGATGGAGCTTTGCTTTCCATAGAAACATTTTCCTACAAAATAGATGGTTAGAAATCATAAAAATAGGAAGACAAGCACTGCTATAAATTGAATGGAGCATAAAAAAAAACTCCATCCAAATCCATGCACAGATCAAGGCATAGGGAATTTTGTAACTTAGTTTTTTGTTGTTGCTCTTACTGGAACTACCATTTGGACCGTATTACAAAGTAGAAGCCGATGCCTGTCTACTGCTATACAAGCAAGATGATGTCTGCTTATATTTCACTACAGCGACCAAACAATAATTCTAAGAACAAATAAAAACGTTTAAACTTTCTAAGAACATTAAAAACAAAGTCCATCATCAAATTCAAACTAGCAATGAAAAAGGAAAACAGTGTCAGCAACAAGGTATTTTCACCACCACAAGCATTTCCACTGAAAGGCAAAAACTTGAAGCATTATGCTATTTGGATCCTTCAAATGGAAGCAAGATTCGTCTTCAATCACTGCTGAAAATTCTGATACAACACATCTGACACGCTGCAGAATGTGTCAGCATTGTTTTTATTAACAACCAGGGAAACAAGGAAATCAGCAAGAATTAACTTAAGCAACCCATACAACTTAACACCTCCTTCCCTCCTTCAGGAAGGGTTTCTTATTGTTTATCCTTTAGCACACAGCAATTAAGAACAATATTACAAACACAGGGCTCCTTTTTTTTAAATCTGTTAAAACTGCTGAATAAATGGCTGCTTACACATTACCAGAGGGAAATAAAGCAAAAAGCCATTAAGAAATTTCTAGGAATAGATGTGCTCTCTACAGGCAAGCTAGAAAATGGACCATAACAGTGCCAATGTACACATTCTAACAGTACATGGCTTTCCCCTAGCACAGTCACAGAAAGAATAGTGAGAGAGAGTAAAAGAGGAGATGGTAAGCACCGGCACCACCATCAACAAAAAGAACTGCAACACCTCGGGCTATGAGACTTCCTTACAAGCTACTTAAACAGGTAAATTACCATACAGAATGCAAAAATAACTTCTTGAAGTTTTCACAAGTTTTACGTTTTTATGAGCTCCGCAACACGAAAGCATCAGCTAACCTCCGTGTTGAACAAAGGAGACGTCTGCGTCTTCAGTGGTTGACTAAGGCATGTGACGCTATTTTCCGCCGAACATACCGATCCGCTTCTACGCTGCACATCCAATACCTCACTTCTTCCCAAACTGTGTGACTTGGAGAAATCCAAAACAGGAGCTTCAACAGCAGGTACAGGAAGAGTCTCTCTTTTTGGAGTTTCTGTTGACTTCTTGTTTGCAGCTTTATTGAACCTGTCTGAATAAAGTATACAAAGTCAAAACAACAGAACTTGTCTGTGATCAGTTCTATGAATGTCTTACAGCACACCAATTGACATAAACACAGTAATTGTCACAAGAACTATGGCTACACTTACTTTATATTTAAAAAAAAAAAAACAAAACTTGCTATTATAATCAAGATACATAAACAACACTGAATACACAGCAATTGTAAATTCAGGTGCTTGCTTAGGAAATTCTTTGTATCAATTTACACAAACCCAGGGAACTGGCAAAAAGGGGAAGTCACCATACCTTGTCAAAAAGTTTCCTGGGAAAAAACTTCCTCCTTAACTATTACAGATCTGGAAACATGATCACAAACTAGAGTTATAGCACTATCAACTATTTCGCACCTACTCTATATATTTGTAACCAAACAGCATATTTGTACCTGGTTTCGTGGAATCCCTACTGCATGCAGACGTCTGGAAAGAAGTCCTGTTCACAATTCTGCCAGAGGAGTCCTCTCCATCCCGCCTTCTCTTGTCTAATTTTCTCTCACCCTCTTTTGACCTTCTCTGCTGTAAATATTTGTGACACACTTAGTTGATTTTACTTGAGCTTTGTGGAATCATCAAACTTGCCCTAGTAGAATTTGAGTTACAGTTCACTAACTGTGCATCTGGAGTTTGAACTTTAAGTTAACACACCATAAACAGTTAGTACACCATAATCATCAACAGCCAATAAAAATCAGAAGAACAGCCAGTTTTAGATTTGCTATTGAATCCTATTTACATTTGGTTAACTGTGTTACTTTTAGAATATACTGTGGCTTAAGCAAGATGTATTTAACCCATATGTTTCTAGACAACTGTACTTTCAAGATCTTGTTACAATTAATTGGAGCATTTCCAATAGTTTAAAACCTAAACCTGGTCTTAAATCATCCAGTCTGACTTTCTAAAAGTGAGTTTCATCTAGAAAAGGGCTACAATCTTGTAAGCGCTCCAAGCCTTTGACGAAACTATGTACTATAGACAAAACCAGCCAAGATTGATGTTCCAGTAACATCCAAAAGACTTTGAGCAGCCAGAAAGTAATTAGAAAAGAAGCATCTATGTGCTTCCAGTAAAGTAAACGTATTCACACAAATCCCGAAGCCTTGTGATTCTCACCAGGCATTTACCTTGCCAGAGCTGGGCTCAGGAATCAGTGTGGTCTAAACAGGCAAGAAAAAAGCACTAGGCATGCACCTAAGCCAACCTAGAGAAGTAGCTTAACTTTTTGTGATTACAGGACACTGGAATAAGTACATCTGGCATAAAAATGTTTTTCTGGGGGGGG